TCATCAAATATATCTTTTTCATAAAATCATCAAAATCAAAAGGAATAATCTCAAATCAAAATTCAATTCGATAGCAAAGATCCGTCGTAATTTCGATGTAGTGGTTGTTGCCTGATGAAGGAATATAAAAAGCAATGCGTACTTCGTAATGTTCATCGAATGCAGCCCAGTTCTCCTCTCCGTCTGTTCCACTAAGTTCTGAACCACTTCTGTCATACATCAAATTACAACTTGGACATCGTCGCAATTTCTCGATATTCGCAAATGGCTCCAACTGAAATTGTGAACGATTTTGAATCGCAAAATTTTTGCCAACATTCATAATGAAATATAATAATACGTGGCATTTACGTGTCAGTGATTTTGCATATAACAGCAAAAAGTACTTGAAGATATTCTGAATGAACAAATGAAGTCGAAACAAATACTCTTTTAAGTGCTGCATCAGACCAGTTGACTGCAGCAAAAAACGGATGAGATTTGATTTCACTGAAGCGTTTCAACCGCCTTTCAACATTCACACACAATAACTGAAACAAACACCTCCAAATATTGTATTAACACATGGTGTTAATTCATTCTTTACAATAATACATTTCATCATTATGCTTCTGATAGACTTTCAGAACTTTTTTTCACTTTCCAGAAGCGTTGATCCCATCGAAAAATTCTCACTGACAAATAATGCATTCAGAAAATTANTTCACTGACAAATAATGCATTCAGAAAATTAACACAACTTTCTAGAGCAGTGAAAACATTTGGGTTATTAATGTGATCGATTCACAGTTTATTGATTGAATCCGCCCGATGACTTCTTTCTCATTAAACTGTAAGCCGCGGATAAGAGTCATCGTTCAAGAAAACTTCAGAAAGGAAGAGTAAAATACGAGTTTGTCGGTGTAATCTGAATAACCTGATTGAGAAGATCACCGAGTGCAGGCTCACAATTTGGTGTACTGTAATCGTTGAAACTGAAATCAAATGAGTCAACGATCGATAAATTTCAGTCATTTGAACCCTGAGAAATTTCGTGAATAAAATAATTCGGTTGCTTGAAGAAGGCGAATCGACAAAGTTGAAAGAATGAACACACTTTCTGCATATTTGACTAAACTTCCGCATACAACACCATTAACTATCATTGCAAAGCTTTATGCAACATTACAAGAAAGATGATGTTGAATTCTATGAATAGAATGTTCCTCTCGAGTAAAACATAAACTATGCCACTGAAAACAATTCATTCAAACTGTTGTTGGGAATCGCAAGATTTTTTGCGGTGGCCCCCGACCGAAAACCCAGTCGTGGCCACCGATAGGCAAATTTTGAGCATCGGTCGGTTCGCTTTCCCGAGTCATTTGAACTCTGACAACTTTCGACCGAATAAGCCCTCCGGTCGGTGGCCACTGAATTGCGGGTTCCTCCGGGAATCGGTCTGAAGCCCCCGACCGCACTCTCGGTGGCCCTCGCAATTCGGTGGCCACCGACCCAACTCTAATTCAAACATCTACATAAGAGCTGAAAGAAGTTTGAATATCTCATCGAATAACCTCAGTTCTTCGTGACTCATAATACCACGATTGGGAAATGGATAACGATTCGTTAAAAGGATATGCAATAAAACACCAAACGACCACCAGTCAACGGCTTTATTGTAAGGGTCACCTCTCGCTATTTCAGGTGCCATATACTGAAATATTACTTAACAAATGAGGCTCTACGACAATTCAGGTGGTATTGCATGAACAATTACATTTTTATG